AATGATTTTCTGAAAATTTGGCGGCAAAAATTCGGCTGAAGTAAAAAAAAAAATAAAAAAAAAATTTGTCTGAAAGTTTCTAATTTCCTTTTATTTTCAATATTTACACATACTTGGTTTAGCATTTCTGACAAAAAGTAAAAATATTATTTTTTCTGGATCCATATTGAGACCGCAAAATTTATTTCGAGAAGTCTGTAAAAATTAATTTTTTATGAATATTCGACCAGACCAACGACTGTTAGACGGTGTAATTTTCAAATTTTACAAAAAGTAATTCTATTAAAAATCTTTTAATTGTAATCTCTTAAAGTAAAGTATACGCTCTAATGTTATGCTGATCTATTATCATGAAACGCAACGCACATACACATACATACATGCATACCTACTCTGTAGTGATGATCAAATTCAATTAAAATTAATTTAAAAATTTGTTTCTACGTTTAAAGCAGTTGCCGCTGACCGCGACCTCATCAGCAACACTAATAAAACTAATAATAAACGCAAATAAAAAAACAACAACAACAACAATACGAGATAAAAACTATTACGAAAATCACAAAACCTGTGCTGCGCAAGCAACAAATGGTATTTGTGAAAATCGCAAAAGTGCCACACGGATCAGTCAATTTGGTGATACTGGATACGTCAGTGTACCAGTGAATGCCAGCGGCTGAAAGCCGCAAAAAAAAATTGAAGTGATAAAAAGTGTGTGAAGAGCAGCAACAGCAGAATCAGTTGCAAAAAAAACGCGCGTGTGGCGTATCGAACCAACGCGACACGTAACAAAGAAAAAAAAATCGAAGAAAACCTGGAAGAATCGTATACGTGAAAGTGGAAATCTTATAAAAAAGTAGTCTGTGTTTTACATATAGTGCTAAATAAATATAAATATAATAAAATTAATTAAAACGTAATAATCTAAAATAAATGTTAAAATGCATACAATTTAATAGTACGAGTAGTTAAGCTGTAATCTTAAGTGAAAATAGGTGAAATTTAACTAAACACAAATTCAATAAAACAACGCTTAAAACTAAGCACTAATTAATCGTAAAAATAAAAATTTTGACAAAATTTTTACTTCTAAACACCGTTGAATTTCTACAAAAATCATTCGTCCTGGATTATCTGCTAAAGACATTGCGTACCCTGAAAAACCCGATTATGGCCGAGAATCAGACCGCCACGGAAGATTCGGGTCAGCAATCGCAACATCAGCAGCAAGGACAGCAGCAACAACAACAGCCGCAGTCGCCGCAACAAGATCAGGCACCTCCTCCCCCTTCGTCGACGACATCGCCCACAACACCGCCACAAGAGAATAATTCCGCTTCATCGCCCGAAGACACCCAAACAGTTGTTATACCCAACACTAACCACCATTCGCATTCGCACTCACATACACACCAACACAACCTCAGCAACCAGCAACAGAATCAGAATCAGAATCAGCATCAGCACACGAACCAAGCGCAGACCCAGCAAGGACATACGCTTACCATAATGGATCATCATCAATTCTCGGATATGTTCAAGAGCAACTCCATAGCAGCGCAACGCCGCAACACCATACAGTCACACGCTCCCATACGTGCCGTCAGCACCACATCGATTAAGAAGCCACCCCTGACTAAAATGACATCGCTTACAAATGCAAATGCCGTTGGCGGCGGCGGCGGCGGCGGCGGTGGCAGTGTTAGTGGCACGAAATCCACCAGCACAAGCGACAAACATCACCCACACCATCATCATTATCATCCACAAAGCGCTCACCATTCGTCGCTTCACCATCACCATGGGAACAGCGCTATGAACCATCATCACCATTCGGCTTCCACAGGTGCTAATAGTGGTGGCAATACCACAAATGCTATACAACGTCGCACCAGTGAAAGTTTGCGTCTGAACGTTTCAGCTACTGGTAGCACTAGTGGTAGCGCCGGTGGTGGTGGTGGTGCTGGCGCTCGTGGTCGTGATGGAGGTGGCGATAGCTCGGCCACTAATTCGTCCACTCCGAATCTTTCGAAAGCGACCAGCAACAGCAGCATTCACTCGAACACAACCCAAAATAGTTCCAGTTCGAGCACTTCGGTTGCACCACAGTCAACAGCCACCACAGCATCGACATCGACGAAAGTCACTTCGCCGAATAACAATGGTGGCGGTGGTGGAGGTGGTGGCAGCAGTTCGGCCAGCACCAACACTAGCCGCAGTCATCACAGTCATGGGCACGGCGCCGGTGGGGGTGGCGCTGGCGGCAATCAGCATCATACAACTGCCGCTTCACAGCCAAGCAGAAAACCAAAGACGACCTCATCGTTTCAGATTACTTCCGTGACTGTCGGACATCCCAAAGTGAATTCCGACAATGGTGATGAGTCAGCCGACGACTTGGATGAATCTCATACAGATGACAATAGTCGTGTCACCGATCTCGATAACGAGACGCCTTCAATGTCCGAGGATACATTCTCTAAAGAGGAGGTGTATTTCTCCAATAATGCATTGAGCACTACAGCACCGGTGATACCGACCAGCTCACAGTATGGACTTGTTGTGGTGGATCCCATTGGTCCGTCGCTCGGTCAGACCATACAAAATGTGCAGGTTAATGTCTCGGACAACATTATAAATGTGGTGAGTGCAGCTGTAACGCCAGGTGGCAGCAAGAAAAAGGATGACATAAAGGAGACGCAGCACCGCAGCGAGCGTTTCAAGGTGGTTAAGATCGAGTCGACTGAGCCATTTCGTCGTGGACGTTGGATGTGTATGGACTATCTCGATCACTCAACTGTGGGCACCGGCGGTAAGGAGGGCGGCGGTGGCAACAATAATGAAAAGACTGGTTCCTCCGAGTCGGGTAACGGCAATAGCGGCGAACCGGCGAAAACTACGCAAAGTATGATAATTGGTACGGGCGCTGCACAGCTGCTCGAGAATCATGTGGATGCGGTTGGCAATAGTTTGCAGCTGACTACTGGCGGTGGCGCAGCGACTGATGGTAACTGGAATTTTAATGAAGGTACCGGTGGCGGTGGCGGTGGCGGTGGCGGCGGTGCTGGTGGCGCAGTTACGCCGGCACAACAATTGCAGCAGCAAATGTCTGCGCCAGCGGGAATTGCTACGGCTCCGGCCACAGTGGTGCATGGCATGCAACAATTTGTATCCGATACTGCCGGTTCACAGCAGGCTCAGGCAGCATCACAACAGCAGCAACAGCCGGAACAACAACAACAGCAACAGCCACAGCAAGTGTACGCGGATAATGGGAGTGGAAATAATACGGATGGTGGCGCAGCCGTGCAGGAAGTGGCACATGGCCAAACATTGCCCATGGACTATGCCACTGTTGCTGCACAGCAATTGCAGCAATCGTTGCAGCAACTGAAGAAGCAAGAAGAGGCGATAGCAGCCTCTGAAGAGGCTGGCACCGTTTATGTGCCACCACCATTACAACAACAGCAACAGCAACAACAACCGCAAACACTTCCCAGCAATTTACAGTTTGACAGTGGCAATGTTGTCAATCCAAGTGATAACAACAATGATGCAACAAGCATGCAACAGGTCGAAGCGGCTGCTCAGCAACAGCAGCAACAACAACAACAAAAAATGCCAACAACATATGTTGCTCAACAGCAGCAGCAGCAGCCACAAAGTGACGTATATAGCCAACAACAACAGAACTTCCAAGCTGCACCTACACAACAGCCGCAGCCGCAGCAGCAACAACAGCAACAGCAACATCAGCCTTCTACTTCGCAAATAATAGCCAACGATATGCAACTTCCGCCACAACAACAGCCTCAATCCGTCTCCGCACCGACATCGCAGATCGATGGTGTCGCTGTTCAGCAACAACAACAACAACAACAGCAGCAACCACAAACAACCCAACAGTTCCAGCAACAACAACAGCCACAGTCGCAACCGCAATCACAGCCGCAGCCACAGCAGCAGCAGCAGTCACATCCACCGCAGTATCAACACCAACAATCTGCGCCAGCTGGTCAAACGATGCCGCTGCAAATGGCAAACTATGAGTTGCAACAGCAGCAGCACGCCGGCGATCAGCAACAACAACAGCTGCAGCAGAGTGCGCCGCCAACGATTGCCGATCCAAAGGTGCTTGCGGCTACAATACAAGCACATCAGCAGCAGCAGCAACAACAACAACAACAACCACAACAACAGCAGCAACAACAACAACCATTGTCGCTTGACAATACCCAAATTAGTAATCCAGCAACAATCGCGAATACAAATAATGAAACATTGCAATTGCAACAACAACAACAACAACAACAACAAAAGCAGCAGCAACAACTGCCTAGCGCTAATAACTTGAACAATGCGAGTGCTAATGCCAATGACAATAGCAACAATATTGCTGGCGCAAATACGCCGCAGCCAGCTGCAACAACAACCGACGAACAACAAGCACAGGCGCAGTCGCAGTCACAGCCACAGCAGCAGCAACAACAACAACAACAGCAAGTACAACAACAATTGCAACAGCTACCACAACAGCAACAGCAGACACCACAAACACAACCGAATGCAGAAACAGAGACTGAAAGGTGAGTCAGCATTTTTCGTTGAATTAGTGTCTACTTGATTTTTTCATATCCGATTTTTTATAACTGTGGTACGCCCACCTTACCGTCGGACTATATACAGTCAGTGTCAAATGTAAGTAGATATCGTTGATATTTTTGCAAAAACCGCCGATGCGGAAAAAATTAGATTTGGTAACCTGAACTCCAGGCATCGAGATTTATGCATAAAAATCGTTTAATCGTTATTAAAATAACAGATTTGTAAAATAATAGCTAGAGAAAATACCGCCTATCAAGGCGTTGCCTTCAAAGAATAAACCGCGTTTTCGCTCTCCTGTAAAATTTGAGTGCCGTAAGATAGGCGGTTGGTTTTGCAAAAACATCGACGATATACACCTTTTTCTAATACATATAGTATTCACAATTATTTTCATGAAAATTTTCTTCATTAATTATTTATGAAATATAGATATGTAGTTCATTTTTTAACATAAACCATGTAAATCAAAATTTCACACATTTTATAAATTCACAAAAAAATGTCCTCAAAGTTTTAAACTTTTTAGTCAGAATTAGAATAGAAAATTTTCTAGTATGCAGTTTTAGTTTAATTTTAGTAAACAAAGTGCAAGTGTCAAGTCGCAAGAAATTTCCGTTGATTTTTTAGAACTGTTTTTTGTGGATCAAAATCTATTTTTGTATGGAAGAAAATGCGCAACACCCTCCCAAAAAAAAAAATCTAAAAAAATCAACGGTAATCTCTAGCGACTTGAACTTGCAATTTTCTAGAAATTCTGAAAAAACATTTTGAAATTTGGATGAAATTTTTTTGAATTTTTTTGAGCTTTGTTAAAAGTGTGAAATTTTGATTTTTATGGTATATGTTATAGAATGAACCATATTTTCATAAATAATTAAAGAAGAAAATTTTTCGTGAAAGTAATTGTAAATATTATTTTAGGGCAACGTGTAAATTTACATTTGACTGTGATTGTATGTGTATAAAAAGCTATTTGGCCCTCTAATATTTCGGCGATTGCGTGAAAAAAATTTCAATATTTTATATTGTTTAGGAAGGATGTAATACTTAGTTTCAAAACTATAAATCGCTAGGAACCTTAAGGCATTCTATGCAGATCGAGCTCTCTGGAATACAGGCAACATAATTAACTTATGGGGAAAGTCGATGCCAATGGGTGGAGTAGGTCAGCAATTTTCAAACAGATATTCATGAAAGAGAAATGTGTGAAAGTTTTCTAAAAATCAAATTAAATAAAACAAATGTTTTTCTTTTAAAGCAATAAAAACTAAAAATTAAATAAAAAAATTTATTTAAAAAAAATTAGTTGCTAAAATTTAAATCAAATTAAGAAAAGATTCTTTTTAAAACAGTAAAATCTAATAATTTAAGAAAATTTTAATTAAAAAAAGAAAAATTAAATAAAATAAAAAAAAAACATTTAAAAATTTAAGAAGTTTGAATTAAAAAAAGAAAAAAATAATAATAAAATGAAAAAATAACATCTAAAAACTTAAATTAAAAAAAAAATAAAAAATATATAAAATTAGAGAAAAGAAAAAAAATATAGAAAAAGATTAGTTTCAAAAAATGAAGTGAAAAAAAATATTTCCATTAATAAAAAAAAAATATTTCCATTAATAAAAAAAAAATATTTTCCTTTTTAAAACAATAAAATTTAAAAATTAAATTAAAAATAGAAAAAAATACAAAGGAAAAGGCACTAAATTAAGTATCTAAAAATTAAATGAAAAAATTTCCATTAATAATTTATTTCCTTTTTAAAACAATAAAATCTAAACATTTTACTAAACTTAAATTAAAATAAGTTAATATGTAGTAAAAACAAAAATTTTTACGGCAAACTTTTTATGGAGTTATTTCTTTTCATGAAATTAGTATGTACGTTGTAAATTACAAATACGGGGTTTTCAAATATATCGACTCCTGCGCCACCTATCGGATTAATTCATCTTTCGTATGGCAATTCCATCGGGTTCTGAGCCAACTGTGAAGCTTCAAGTCTCTAGATCATCGGAAAGTCGGTTAAACAACAAACACATTTCAAACTTTGTACAAAAATTATAAGAATTCAGCAAATTTTCAACACAATTTAAAACTCTCTTGAATTGCTGGGCGCAATTTTTTTACTGCTACTTCACTGAGTAACTTGGCTGCCCACCAAATGTGGTCTAAATTTTTTTGGTTCTCGGGTCGTGCAAATGGTCATCTAAAACAACGGAAGCCTGTACTCAGCCTGTCACAAAATTGTCGATTTGATTTATCGTCCTTGGATCTGCAGACAGTCACTTCGCTTAATGGATCTTCTCATGCTGAAACGTAGTCCGTGCCATAGACTACCATGTCAGGGTCGCCGAGATGTCGGATCAGCCTCAGTCCGTTATCGGTTTTTCGTCTTGGAGGCTGAATTTTCCGATGGCTATATTAAATAAATATCTCTTTCTTGTTTATTTAATACCACAGCCTCGTTTTTCTCGTACGTCTGTGTGTGAGCGAAAATGAGAGAGAAGTTGATAAGAATTGAGCCGAGACACGCGCTCGCCGGCGTGAACGACAGTACCTAGCGGCGAAGTCTTCTACCGTAAATCCAGTAGCGAATTTTTACCAAGTGCTAAGAATGGGGTCTTACACCCAGGCTTTTTCGAATTTTTCATTTTTACTTGGCGGTTCCCAAACACAGAACCTGGTTGTCCAACAATAATGCAATTGTATGCTCTAATTTTAAAAGCTCGAAACTTTGAGTCAAATATATTATTCTACATTATTCTTAATTAAAAATTAACAGTTCAATAAACCTCTGCTTTAACTTTCCAATACTTGATTGTGAGTAGATAGTTGTTTTTGTACAAGAAAAAAATAGAACCAAACCTGACACTTTAATGATTCGTTTCCTATCGACATTTATTTATTAATATTTTCTTTGCCTAGGAAAATTTTCCACGTCGAACGCCTGAGCCGCAAGCAAACTTGGCTTTCCATATATTAAACTATTACACTTCAAATTTACTTTGGCTAACCTTTGGTTTCAAAATTATGATCACGTATGAATATCTATGAGCATACATACATACATATTTACGTACTTCTGTGTGAATGTACAGTTGTGTGAAAAATAATAAGGACACATAATTTTTCCGGTTTTTACTATTTATCATTGTTTTGTTTTATAAAAATACAGCTAATTACCTAAAAAAAAACAAACCTAACAAACCCATATAAGTTTAAATTTCAAACTTTGTAGAAAAATGTTAAAAATTTTCCATTAAACTTTTTATAAAAAAATTTAGAAAAATTTTAAGTATGCAGTTTTATACCCCAATAAATTCTATCTCAATAAGGATCGCGTTGATTTTTGACAATTGTTCTGCAGATGGTGTTATTTTCTTATAAAAAAAAATTTTATATACTTTGTATGGAAGAAAATGAAAAAAATAATTCTTAGCCACTTGAAACTCGCACTTTATTAAGCTAGAATTTAATGGGCTATGAAATATAGAACTTAAAAATTTTCTAAAAATCTTAATAAAAAGTTTGTTTTTGTTGAATTTTTCTTGTAAGATTTTCTAAATTTTCCAGAAAGTTTGAAATTTGGACTTATATGGTTTTTGTTAGATAATGAGCTGTATTTTTATAAATACTACGAATAAAAGAATACGAATAGCCAAAACTGGTTAAAATTTCGTGTCCCTATTATTTTTGACGCGACTATATGTATGTATGTATATATTTTATTAGCGTAACATGCTCTCCCTCATAAATTAAAATCCGAACAACAGCCATAGATTTCTTCACATAAATGTCTGCCGCAGACGCTTTGATTGCTGTCTGGAAAAGTCGGCTGCCAAAGTAATTGAATTGAACAGCTTGAAGGCAGTCTGTAACTAAAGAAATAATAAAAAGAGGCAAAAAATTAGAAAAATAAAAATATGTACAACAAAAAAGCAACAAATAAACAGCTGTGAAATCGCCGGCTGCTGTATTCGTGTAGCACGTCTATATCGCATACGAAAAAATACTTGTTGCTGTTGTTATTGCTCTTGCTGGAGGTGCATTTGAGTCTGCGCGACTTGAGGTGCCGATCGCTTGCCGGTGTTTCTGTTCAAGTTGCATTTGCTGGCGATGGTTGCACTAGTGTTGGTTAATAATACCGGTGTTGCGGATGATGTTCATGTTGTTCATTTTGCCGGCTAACTACATATACACATCACATACATACATACGTACATGCATATTTGTGTTGCAGTGAATGCCACCGTGGCTGCCAGCCATGCAATGGGGACTGAATAATTTCTTTAATTTTTATTTACTATTTTATTTTTCTTTAAGTTAACTTTGTTGCCTCGTCTTATACTAACTTACTTGCCACTTCGCAATGCCTGCTCCTCTCGTCCAACTATGTATGTACATATCTATGTATGTGCATATGTACATATATGGGGCGTTCCATATCAAACTGGACGGGGTTCACAAAAACAAAAACAAATCGATCGAGAAAAAATTTGAAAAAAAAACACACATACACACATCAAAATTCTGTATGAAAAGAAATATTTTTTAGATTTTTTTTCTTGAAAAATTGTTCACATACAAATCTTTTGATAAAAAAAAATAGCTTTTGAAAATATGCCATCTCAAAAAAAATTTTAAAAATCACAATGCTCTCTGTATAGCGCAATATTTAAGTATAGTACACCCAAAAAAACACTTCTCTTAATTGAATAAAAACAGCAATCAAAAGCACTAAAGAAGTTTTATCCTCTTTTCATGCCCAACATTTCTTCAAAATGATAGATTACATCCACGGTTCCATATTTTCGTGTACGTTTTTACACATTCCATTCGGAAGAATTTTCGGCCTTAAAGTAAGGAATGTTTTTCTTTGATCCGAAGATGGATTTTTGGTTCAGTGTATTACGGGGTGCACTCTACAATAATTTGAGTTATGAATTTTTTTTACACCAAAGTTGAGTAAAGTGAGTAT